CTTGATACACGGCTTAGATTATTACAATCAATGGGTAGAATTTACCATCTATAATTCTCTTTTAAATATTTACAAAATCTCTCCTCTTCTCTATTTTTTCTATAATCTCAAAACCTTACAACATTCCACACAACTCTTGAAAGACTCTAAAACCTAACCTACTTCTCTGTACTGGCCAAACAGATGTCACTCAAATTCATTCTCAACATTTGTGAGGCGCAACCTTCGTTGTGACCTAAGTAGGGATATCAATTTAACCCGCCCTATTGGGGCCCACTCAGACCTGCCCTTAATGGACAGGTTTGGGATCATCCCTAATAGAGTTCGGGTGAATTTGAGTAGTGTTGACCCTAAAATCGGCTCCTTAGATCCGATTTGGACTTGATGTAAAACAGGCGTGCCAGAACCAGTTATATGGTTCGATTGTAAACAGTCAACGTTAGTCCCTTTGAAGGGTTGACTTTCAGACGATGCGAGGAAAAAGGAAACAATAAAATTCCTCTTTTGAGTTCAATAATGCCTTAGTTAAGAGGACTTTCCAGTGAAAAATTTATAGTAACGTATCAAGAGAATAGAAAAGGGGAAGAAATAGATATAGAAAGAAATAGGGAGAAGAGATAGAAAGACAGAGATATAGGGAGAGAAATAGAACAAGGCGGATAATAGAGAGGGAGAGAGATAAATATAGTAAGGATGCTATTTAGGGAAAGTGCTTGAAAAAGCAAACAAAATAATAAATTGATTCTAAGGGTGCTGGACCTCTTCTTCATCATGCCTCTACAATTATTTATAGAAAACTAATACGTAAAACAAACTCCTATATGCAGGTATTCTACTTGCATTACAACTCTATCAAAACTAACAACGTATTTAATTTAAACTAAGTTGTTGATAACCTTAATACCTAACCGTACTTAACTAAAAGATAGAAACCAAAATTCAAACCTAATCTATCATCTAAATTCAACATATAACTTTGCATGCCATTTATATCCCATGTGGAATTGCATAGTCGTTTCCTTCAACTAAAAGCCCAACCATATAGTCAGCCCATATATCAATCCGATTCTCCTCTCAGCACCTAGACCCTCATTATGTCACTATATTTTTAGCCCACTCGTTACATTTTTCAACCCAATTGTAGCCCAAGTTACAACCCACGTCCATTACTTGGTCCAAATTTAATACTCACATCGTCAGCCCAATATCTCCATGGACCTAACCTTTGCCACGTCACTGTTCATCAAGCCCGACTGTAGCCCAAACCCAATTACCAAAATGGGTGTCATCAATGCCCCCCAAATTTGGTAGCTGTTTAACCCTTCGGCTTCCAAAATTCAAACAACACCCATTGCATTGAGAACACAAGTACACCATATAATCTCTTAATAACCATGATTGTTGTAATTTCCAAAAAATGCCAATTGCACTAACCTATCCTCTCAACCATTAATTCTGCATCTAACCCTTTTGTAACCTTGTACTTCACGTCTCTTCCTCATCCACAAAACCCAAGCTCTTCACTTCTTATCAACAAATTTACTTCTGTCAAAGTAATTCGTTCCAAAAAAATCTCTGCAACATCATCTTTCTTTCCTTCAATCATGGCTTCAAAACAAATGAAACTGGGTGATTTGAGTTTGGAAACCCCTTTTCCAGAAGCAACATCACATACCCAAATGACTAAATCAGCGATCAAAACCCTAGGTCAAAATGAATTAGATACCACATCATTAATCGATATTATAGAAAACGCTAAGGGACTTAGCCCAGTGTTTCTATATCGATTCCCTCCTTCGTTTATCTCCTATTTATCCACAAGCCGAACACCAACTTCCTTTCTCAAAGCCTCTCTATCTGACAGCAGAAGGGGACATACCAACTCTTTCCGTCTGAAATTGGCATCCACCAATGCTCCAATGGAACAACTGGGTGGATCGTGTATCGGCAGCGAAAGGAGAGCAATGGAAAAGGATGGGTATCTTTGACCTCATCCAACTCAGTAAGATTCCTTTTATCTTTGACCGAGCATTGTTTTTCGCTTCTTTACACTTTTGGTCCCCCACAACCAATTCACTACATTTGCACTGTGGCATGATGTCCCCCACATTGAGGGACGTCTGCTTTCTAACGGGTTTGAAGCCCGGAGGAGATGAAATCAACAATCTTCTCCAAGATGAAGAAACTTCCTTTTATTTTCCAAAACAAAAAGGATCTAAACCTTTCGTACAATCACATGGACCCTTCTTGAAAGAAATGTTAAGGGAAGATGGGAATGAAGTAGATGAACAGGAACACATAGGTTTTTTACTACTGTGGTTATGTAGGTATCTGTTGTGTGCCCCTACTATCCAAATTACCAAGGACCTTATCGAGTTGGCCATCGCATTATCCAAAGGAAAACCCATGGCCTTAGCTCCATTCCTTTTAGCTTCCTTGTACTGAGGCTTATCTGATCTTATTACCTCCAATTTTTCAAGATCTGGAGGTCCCCTTTGGCTATACCAATTCTGGCTGCATGCATACTTCCCTAAATTAGCTCCCCCTATTCGTCTTGCTACAAATGATCCTTTACTGTCATTTGGGTATGCCAAAGCAAAGCCCAAAGACAACTCTTTTAATGACTATTTTCAGTTTTTCTACCATCAGTGTAAAATCAGGACTCCATCTCAATTTCTTCCTTTCTCCAAATGTCGACTAGCTCCATCTTGGTTGTTTTCTCCCACTACCGAGTCTTCGACAGAACAAATTGAATTCCACAACAACTCTTGGAGTCATTTCTTAACTGCTAGGGATATTCCCTATAATACGGTCGTTCCCCACCTTCCAAAGAGCCGAACCGGAGTAGAATTTTACAACCCAGCTTAACTAGCACGACAATTTGGATTGACCCAAGTGATTCTGATACCACCCCACTTTTCTTATAACAAAAACTACCATTGGCGGGTCAAGCTTTCGAACAATGAACAGTTTCAGGATATAACCAACTGATTTACTCAGCGTCTTCGAGAATTCTAGTACAAACCCTTTCTGGAAGAACCGCATACTGATCCAACCTTTGAGACGTGGTGGGCATTATACATCAACTTTACTAGAACTGCAGATTCCAGCCAGCTTGTATGCAATCTTCTTGGATCCTATAAATTCATCTCTCTCAACTTTTAAGGCGTGGACTCAATTAATCCCGTTGTCCTTACTACCCCTCTTGAACCAGAGAATATAACAGACCAGCCACCAGTTCATCCTCCTCCCGCTGCTCCTGCAGGTAAGACCAGGTCTCGTTCCCGGCAGAGTAAGTTTTACATCTTCACTCTATTCATATTAGCTTGTATTCATTTATATGTCTACTAATACGACTCCAGGCACACATTCCAATATACCAGAACAATCAATACCCACCAAGTCTGAAGAAACCCAAGTTGATTTTTATGTCCCTCTTTAAAGTATTCCCCCATCACCGGCTACTGCTCAGGTAACACTCACAATTAATTTATCCTAATTCTCTTAATGCGCACCATTTCAATTGCTAATACTTTTTTCTCAGAAGAAAACAAAAAAGAAAACTATTGGAAAGAAACCTATCAAAAAATCAAGAGCCAAGAGACACTTTGTTTTGATTGATGATGATGAAGTAGAAGAGGACGAAGTTATGTCCAAGAAAAGGAAACCCGTCACTAAAACTCCTCTGGTAATACTTCCTAATGCTTGATTTTCATATGTCATACTTGTATTCAATTGTTATGACTAAACCGGCATTATATATTTATCTTTAGAGAACTCCACAGACACGCCACAGTGTTGATGAAAAGATAGAAATGTCCATAGGAAAAGAACAACGGTCCTCTCCAAGGATAATTTCTCTTCTTTCTGCTAAACATCCAGTTGCAGTTTCAATGAATGAACAAATTGGGGACTCTGATGAAGTAAGTAGTGATCTGCATAACCTACTTTATATAGACTTGTAAAGATCGAGACTGATCAAAAATATTCCAGGTACAAAAAGACTCGGCTTCTTCAACCATTCCTGCCACTACCAACCCAAGTTCACCATTCACCACTTTGGATTCTCTATTTGATTCAGTGTTTGAATCCCTAGATCCTAAGCCTCTTGTGATCCCAGCTGAAAAAACTTTTGATACCCCCTTCGAAGTAATAAAGGCTATTCAGACATTGTCTCAAATGTTGCAACATGACCTGTCCTTAGTTCCTTCCTTCAAAGAAGAACTTACTTAGACCCTTTCCTTTCTGAGTAGCTACCCCGGATTTCCTTTGAATGATCAGTCCTTTTTCAAGAATTTCCAACTTCAAGTTCCCTCAATGATCACTTCCTATGTTGATTCCACTCAAACCATTAATCATTGTGCAGCCCAGAACCAAGAAAAAGGAAAGTTTTCTCAATCTTTAAAGTGTGGTAGAGAACTTCATCTGTCTTTGAAGAAGGAGACTGCTGAGCTGGATGCTCAAGAATAAAAGCTTTAGGCAGAATTGTCTCGGTTGGAACACGAAAGAACCCAACTCGGCAACAAAGTAGCTGACTTGAAAAAACAAGCAGAAGCTGCTGCTCCCAAGTTTAAAGCATTACAAGCTCAAATGCCGAGGTTGAAGCAGTCCAAACGACAGGCAGAGATCAAGCTCACCAAAACCAAGACCACATGGGCAGATGTGAAAGCCAAATTTGAAGAGTTTCACCAAAGCTTTAAACAGTCTTGAATAGTTATAGTTTTTTGAACAACATGACATTTTGGGTATGTAATATGGGATTTTTGCTATAACTGCTTTTAAACTTTATTTTACTAGCATCTTTATTTAACTACACACTTATTGCTTCAAACAACTTACATAAAATCAACTAAATACAACCCAAACTATTTTTACTTAGTAGAGGTTTTCTTCTCCTCCATAAGTTTAAAAATAGTTGGTTTATATTTCTTTAGGTATCTCCCATTTATTGGTCTCTAATGATTGTCACCATCAACATCTTTCAACTTGTAAGCTCCTCCCTATAAAACTTGGTGTACCACAAACTGTCCTTTCCAAGTAGGTGACCATTTGCCATAAACTCTATCCACCTCTCCAGGTGGAAGGATTGTTTGCCAAACCATATCACCTTCTGCAAATGACTTGAACTTCATGCTTTTGTTGTAAGCCTTCATTACCTTCGCTTTATGAACCATAAGATGGTCTAAGGCAAGTTTCTGAACTTCATCTAAATCTTCCAACTCGGCAAGCATAGCTTCATTATAATCGGCAGGTATTAGATTGTGTTGCAAAGCTACCCTTGTCGATTTTACATTTAACTCCATCGACAACACAGCATCATGACCAAATGTCAACCAATATGGAGTAGTTCCGGTACTTGTCCTTTTTGAATTTCTATAAGCCCATAAGGCTTCAGAAAGGGTTTCATGCCACCGTCTTGGCTTGTCCTTTATCATCTTTTCAATTATTTCAATCACAACTTTATTTGAAGCTTCTGCTTGACCATTGTCTTGAGCATAGTAAGGTGTTGAAGTCACCATTTTCACCTGCATATCACGGGCCGAGTTGCAACACTTCTCCAGCTCTAAACACAGGCCCATTATCGGCAACAATCGTTTCAGGTAAACCAAATCGGTGAAAGATGTGTCGTTCCAAGAATTATATAACAGTACTATGATTTACTGAAACATATTCCTCAGCTTCTTCCCATTTGGTAAAATAATCGATAGCTAAAATAATCCAATGATGACCCTTTGATGAAGGAGGATTAATCTTGCCGATTAGATCCATAGCCCAACCCCTGAAAGGCCATAGTTTAATTAATAATTGCATTTCTATTGCTGGTACCCACTGCATTGGACCATGCTTTTGACAATCTGTACAACCTTTTGCATAAGTTATACAATTTTTTCTCATTCCAGGCCAATAATATCCATATCGGCGTATCAACCATCTCATTTTGATGCCCGCTTGGTGAGCTCCACATATCCCTTCGTGTACCTCTGCCATAATCTTTAAACCTTCAAACTTGCTAATACATTGAAACAACAAACCATCATCAACCGATCTCCTATATAGGTCTCCATCCATAAGTACATAATCGACTGCACTTCTATTTATTCTTCGATCGGCTTCTGCAGTTGGATGTTGTAAGAATAAGATGTAAGAAATCCGCCAATCATCATCATCTAACTCGGCAACATCAATGGCAAAAACCTCTTCCATAATTTAATTTCTTGTTTTAGCCGATGGAAGAGATCGGCGTGTGATTTTCATTATCCTTTCTTTCATACCACTCAGCACCTTGATTCTTGAAGCAGTTTGTGCTAAATCATTAGCTACTTTATTCAGGGCCCTTGGTCTGTATTCCAAAGTCACATTATAAAATTGGTTAACCAGTTCGGTTGCCAATGAATGAAATGGCCTTAATTGCTAATTCAAGCATCTAAAGTCTTCTGAAATTTAATTAATCACCAAACTTGAATCTCCCACAATGTGGACATCTTTGAGACTCATTTCCAGCAGGATTTCCAAGCTGATAATTAATGCCTCATACTCGGCTTGATTATTTGAGCACCTGAAATCCAAAAAGAAGGAAAATGAGATCTGATTTCCTGATGGGGAAATTATTGCAATACCAGCTCCTAATCCTTCGCTGGTACTTGACCCATCGAACATTAAAGTCCAAGGAGTCAGGAATATGGTTGTCGAGTCAAGTTCATCAAACACTTATGATTCAATTTCAGGTGAAGGATGATCGGCAAGAAAATCTGCCAATGCTCTCCCCTTAACTGCCTTTTGTGGAACATATACGAAGTTAAACTCCATTAGGGCCAAAGCCCACTTGCCGATCCGGCCTATGATTAACGGCCTTGATAGTATATATTTTATAAGATCGGTTTGACAAATAATATAAACCGAAACAGGCAACATGTATACTCTTAATTTCATTGCTGCAAAATACAAGGCCAAACATAATTTCTTAATCGGCGTATATCTACACTCAACTGGGGTTAAAACTCGGCTGAGATAGTATATTGCTTGTTCGCTTCCTGCTTCATTTTTTTGTGCCAACATAGTTCCAATGGATTCTTCAACAGCCGATAAATATAACTTCATCGACCACTTCTTTCTTGGCAGCATCATGATAAGAGGACTTGACAAGTACATCTTGATCTGCTCAAACGCCCTTTGATGTGTATCATTCCATTTGAATTCTTCCATCGGCTTCAACTTGAGCAGCGGGGAAAACAAATGTAGCTTACCAGCTATATTGGCAATAAATCGCCTAAGATAGTTCACTTGCCCCAATAACCTCTGTAACTGTTTCTTGCTTCTCGGCGCACTGGCATCAATAATTGCCTTAGCCTTATTCTTGTCGATTTGTATACCCCTTTGATGAACCAAGAAACCCAAAAAGTTTCCTGCCGATACTCCAAACACACACTTTATTGGATTCATCTTTAACCTGTGAGCCCTCATTCTCTCAAAAGATGCTTTCAGATGAAGTAAGTACTCACTCTTGGTTGTCGATTTCACTACCACATCATCGATATATACTTCCATAAACTTGTCGAGCATGTCATGAAAGATAGAGTTCAAAGCTCGCTGATATGTAGCACCAGTATTCTTCAAGCCGAAAGGCATTACCACCCACTCAAAAGTTCCAATCGATCCTGGACACCTGAAAGCTGTCTTTGAGATATCTTCCTCAGCTATATAAATTTGGTTATAGCCTGAGTGTCCATCCATAAAAGACATAATTTCATGCTTGGCAGCTGCATCAATTAATTAATCGGTTATTGGCATAGGATACTCATCTTTTGGGGTCGCCAAGTTTATGTTTCGAAAATCAACACATATATGCAATTTGCCATTCTTCTTAATAACAGGAACTACATTTGATAACCACTCGACATACCTTGTAGTTCGAATGAAACCAGCATCCAACAATCGTTCAATCTCCACCTTGATTTTATCTACCACTTCTTGAGACATTCGGCGAGGTGGCTATTTAAATGGCTTATAACCATCTTTAATGGGCAGCTGATGTTCCACTAGATCCCTGGATAAACCCGGCATTTCCTCAAAATTCTAAGCTAAACAGTCACTGTATTCTTTTAACATGCCGATCACCTCGGCTTGTAATTCCGACTCTAACAATGTCCTGATGTAGGTCGGTCTAGGCTCTGTATCAGTGCCTAAATTCACCTCCTTCAATGGATCTTGATTTTCTGCTTTGAGATCATCCAGTTTAGCTGGTGCCAATTCCAAATCTTCTAGTTGAATGGCATCCAACTTTTCATTATCAACTTGATCAACTTTGGCAACATTAGCCGAAGGTCCTGGTTCTACTCTTGCTTCCCTTTCTAGTCGTTTTTCAACAATGTAAGCTTGTAACCTAACGCAAACGGCCCTATAGGCCTGCTGCCGATCTGCTTCTCTTTCAAGTTTCGCTTCCATTGACAATCTCTTCTTCAACTATGGTAAGCCGAGGGAATTCTACCTTCGGCCTGGAATTTCCTGCTGTAACTCGCCGATTTCGCAATCGGCAAGACTTCTTCTCATAGTTACCTTCGTTGGTCTTCCATCAACTCCTGTTCCCATAAATCGAATAGGAACACACTCTTCATCATACAAAACAGCATATGCCAAGTATACTTTTGCCACAAATGGCTTGTCATCGGCATTTACTATCTTAACCTTATCTCCATCCCAAAAGATCAACATCTGATGTAATGATGATGGAATACACATAGTTGGATGAATCCAATCATGGCCTAACAGTAAATTATAGGAGGCCGTTGATTTAACAATAAAGAATGCCGTAAACGATGTCCTTCCCCCAATTTCAACTTCTAAGGGAAGAATTCCTTTCGTGCTGGTAGAACCGCCGTTAAACCCACAAATGGCTACATTAGTAGGAATAACATCATCCATACTCTTACCGAGTTTTTTCAATGTATTAGCAGGAATAACATTTAGAACCGAGCCATTGTCAACTAAAACTTGGTTAATCGGTTGGCCTTCTACCCATACCTTAACATACAAAGGTCTTAACTGTTGAGTCATTGCTAACAGAGGTTTTTCAAAGACTACATTTTTTGTCGATTCTGAAGAAAGAATTGATAAACTTTGAATTGGCTGAGTTTCTTTCTCCTTGGTTCTTCTTTCATCTTCTGTTTCCTCCTTACTTTCAGTACTTGCATTTGATGTCGATGGAGCCTGGAACATTGTTGGTAACACAAATGCAATATTACACGACATTTTTTCTAGGAAACTACCAAACTGAATTTTGAACTCATTATTGTGTCTAGGTGATCGGTTGGTCAATCATACATCAACTTTCGCAATAGCACGAATCATTGTAAAATAGGGCTATTAGTCGGGTAAGTCGAACCACTGGGACTGCGCTAGTCTTACGGCAACCTTAGTGTCTAGAATCTTTCTAGAATGATGAGGGGTGTTCATAGAGGGTTTGTTTTGTTTGTCACTAAACTAGGAATTCAAATGTGCATAAAACAATAGTGACTTGTAAGAATTAGATGAGATAGAACAATAGAAAAGAGACTAGGGAAGAGACTCCACAACCATCAATAAGCATGCTAGGATATGATTTACTTAGGGGAATAACATATATGTATAACCATGGGATGCAATAACACAAATTATTACATTCCCTTCAAGAAATTTATAAAATCAATAGGTAAGAATAACCTATCAAAGCATTGCATGTTTTGGTTACCTAAACTAGGTTGTAACCTTAGACATACTCACTAAGCATAGAGTTATCAAGCCCTTAATCACATAGTAGAAGCACATGACATAGAATCCAAGAATAATCTATCAAAGGAAGATCCTAAGCAATAGATTATCAACTCTCCTAAATATCATGCCATTAACAACACTTCCATAAACTCCATTCCATTGTCACTATGAAAATGTAGCAATATAATCGTAGGAGAAAAACCATCTAAGACAAGATATTTAACTCAAGATGATTATGTATAGGTATTGAAATTCATTACATCAAATGAAGAGCTCTAGTTCATGAAAGGATTACATACATATATTAACCCCCAAATATAAATCAAAACAAAGCAAAGCTTACAAAATGGAGCTTCATCACCTCCCTAGAGGAGGTTTAGTTACCCATGGTGGCCCTAGATGAAGGAAGAAGCAAGGCTTTCCCCTCCATTTTTGAGCTTCCTCCTTGAAGCTTCAAGAACTCCTCCTCTTTGCTCTCTTCTCCCTCCTCTAATCTTGTGGAATGAAGCTTATGAAATGTGTGGCCTTTGGTTGTCTTTTGTCCTCCAACAAAGCCCTCTCTCTCCTCCAAAAAACATCCCCAACCACCTCATAAAGAAGTAAGTAGAAAATGAGGAAACCAATGCACAAGTGGCTACCAAAATGAGAATTCCCGAAGGCAATTATGCCCCAAATTCGAGCACTCTAAGCAAGGCCTCGAGCACTCGAAAATGGAGCAGATTGCTCCATGCTTGCTTTGATTCGCCCGGACCTACTTTGGTAAAATGGCCATAACTTTGCGCTCCGAACTCCGAATGACGAACCGTTTGAAGATTTGGGATGCTAGTTCAGA